ATAGGCCAATAGACTTGGCAGGCCTTTGGGCAAAGTGGAAGGAGCCCAGCTCCACACTCCCAAAAGGGGCATGGCCTTGGAGAGAAGAGGTGGGGCTAGGCTTGCCAGCCTTCAGTGTTGTCTGGAGCACACTGCTCCAATGGAGATGTAAAGGGCCTGGAGCTCCAGCCACTGCCACTCCTGCAGTACTGGTAGCTGGAAGCCCCAGGCTTTTTTGAATTGTTGGGCCCTGTGGTAACTGCCTCCTTTGCCTCCCCCGATTGGTGGGCCTGCAGAAGATACTGTTCTCTCTCTCTCTCTACTAGTCAGTAGGGATGTAAAGGGTTAACCAGTTACCAGGTAAACATCACCCTTATCAGTGATGCTTATGGGTAACTGGTTAACCAGTGGCCCAGCCAAGTTGTGGGCATGGTCTGCTCCAACCTGGCTGGGCTTGCCACGCTGGAGGTGGGAGTGGAATACTCCAGCCTGGTAGGGCCGGCTGTGCTGCAGGCAGGGGGCTGGTCAAGGTTTAACTGGTTAAACCTAGCATTTAACTGGTTAACTTTTTAAATAATAATTAACAATCCTACTGGTCACTCAGCAAGTTTCAAATAATTACATGTAATGTGTACTTATGGTTTTGGTTCTAGATGCAAGATCTCCAACTCTGGAATTCGATAGCCTTCATCCCAGGTTGTGTTTGTCTGAAGATCGTCTTACAGTAAGCTGCAGCTGGAGGAAGAGATTTTACACTTATAGTCCCCAGAGATTTGATAAGTTATGGCAAGTCTTGAGCAAAGATGCTTTCTTCTCTGGAAGCCATTACTGGGAAGTGGACGTGCTTCATGCTGGGCAGGGATGGTGGATTGGAGCAGCATACCCTTCCATCAAAAGACATGGAGACTCCGAAACTTGTCGGCTAGGGTGGAACAGAGCATCCTGGTGTATAAAAAGGTTTGACCTTGAATATTGGGCATTTCACAAGGGGGAGAGGACCCTGATCCTGACAGATGATGATCCAGAACGAATTGGTGTTTTCCTGGATTATGAGGCTGGCATCCTCTCGTTCTATAATGTAATGGGTGGCATGGCCCACTTGCATACTTTCCGCTGCAAGTTCACAGAGCCTCTCTACCCTGCACTTAGGCTGTGGGAAGGTGCAATAACAATCTGCAAATTGACTTAGGAAGAGATGAGACAAAGAAATTAACTGACCCTGCTTTTCAGTTATTTGTATGTAAAATTACTTTAAATTACTCTAAATGAATTCTCACAGAGAATAGCAACTATACTGTGAGGCTTTAATTTAAATGTACAAGTACATTTCTGATTCAGTATTGATCACTAAAATGTGATTCTCGGTTCCCAATGTAGATAAATACTCAGGTCTTTGTCAAATCAATACTTTGGAAGGTACTATTATAGATGGGTGATTTTTACATGTATTTTCAAAGTGCTCGTTTGCCATTTATGAATGGCACTTCAGGTTATAGAATTATGGGGATCCTCCTCATGGCATCTGACTAAAATAATTTTAGACTGTAATTTTGTAGTGGATTGTGACTTAACTAGAACACAGTCCTATTTTAAATTACACAATGGCTGTTATGGCTTATATTTGAAACAGAAGCTAGCAATCCCTTTTATTTACCTACTACCCTACCTCCAGCTGGCTGGAGAGATTACCATCTTCCATCGGTATTACTCTGAGCTTGGCTTATGTACGGTATAACCTTTTAGTTTAATTTTATTATTTCCATTTGACTTTGGAGAACCGATCCAGTAACTGAAATAGCTCATGGTAAAAAACATCATCCACTTCCAAGAATGATCCAAGGGTGGCTTTCACTGTTGCCTAAAACTCATTTCAGATTCGCCTGAAGTGGGAGGCTTGTCTGTCTACACTAACTGGCTCGGGTGGTTATAGCTAGTCTTTTTTGGGATCCAGTAACTAGAGCTTACTGGATCTGATTTAAGTGGCACAGGAGAGAAGCCCGTCCTACTGTTTTACAGTCAAACTTCCTGCAGATGCTCTCCTCCTCCTCCAAAATGCAGTGCAGCAGGTCTGCAGGCTGCCTCCCTTCACCCATATACCAGAGGGTAGTGTGAGAGGAAGCCCTATGATGCTGTACAGCCCCCTCCTCTGCCTTTTTCAAGTCAGAGGCATATGGAAAAGGCCCATCTCCACAACAGATTATAGCAGCATTGTAGCTTGTGGAAGTGGGAGATATTCAAATTAGGTGTGTATAAGAGTGATGGTTTGTTCTTCTCAAATCCATACTACTTACAATTCAAAGAATCTTAGATTTTATCCACAGATTTCCTTTTTTTAGTGTAGATCTGCCTATAGTGCTTTAACTACTGTATCCTCTAGCCCTGTGAGAGCAAAAGCCTAGAATACACCTTGGTTTCAGTACCAGAGGCACACCTACAATAATGTTCTCACAAGTGTTGTAGTGCATACAATAGTAATAAGAAAAGGCTAGTGCAGACAAGGATAGGTCTCCTTGTTAAAATGAAATGTCAAAATAGTAGCTTGTTTGACAAACGATTTATTTGTGTATTTTCAATAAAAATGTTTCAACAATCATTTAACTATCACCTTCTGTTAAGGCAAGCATACTGCTCAAAATCACAAGTCATACAGTTTAAGCAAGCTGAATGAAACCACCTCTTCCCAGCTTAAATGTATTAGGCACACAGGCTCCTGGCATTGCAGTAGTACATTTAAGATAAACATTCCAAATGTAACATTAAGCAAGCCACAGCTCTGCTTATACCATCAGGATGTCCAAGATACCTAAAGTTAAAAGAGGTAGAAAGTTCCAATAGCCATCACTGATAAAAAGACGTCTGTTATTGATTAAAATGAATACTAACAAGCTATTCCAGATATTACAATTTGGCTGCGTCTAGACTGGCATGATTTTGCGGAAATACTTTAACGGAAAAGTTTTTCCGTTAAAAGTATTTCTGCAAAAGTGCATCTAGATTGGCATGAATGCTTTTGCGCAAAAGCATCCGTGGCCAGACTAGACGCGATTTTGCGCAAGAAAGCCCTGATCGCCATTTTAGCCATCGGGGCTTTTTTGCGCAAAACAGTTCTTCCCTGTCTACACTGGCCCTCTTGCGCAAGTATTCTTGCACACGAGGGCTTTTTCCCCGAGCGGGAGCATGAAAGTATTTGCGCAAGAAGCACTGATTTTGTACATTACAAAGTCAGTGCTCTTGCGCAAATTCAAGCGGCCAGTGTAGACAACTGCCAGTCTAGACGCACCCTTAGAGTGTATGACTGCCAGCTCCTAGCTGCCATTTCTTCTAGCCTATAACCCAGTTTCTTCATGCAGGAAGGAAGCAACAGCAGTTAAGTCAGCAAGGAGCAAGGGCTATGGCAATTTCTTACTGTGAAGAAGAGGGGGAGACAACAGACCAAGCAGCAGGGAGAGACAAATTAGTTCTTACAGAGGAGCAGAAGTGCTGCATGTAGTCCAGTCGCTTAGATAAGATGACTGAAAGGTGTTTTTTTTAAAAAAAAAGGCCACTGGAAATACTGTATAACTATCTAATGAGAGAAATTTCTGCTAGGATAGTGCTACTGAGCCTGGTAAGCATCTATTGACATCTTAGCTCCATCCAGATCATCACCAAAAGGAATCTGTGCACCTGTTCACTGTAAGAATCCCACACGCTCATCTTCTCTCCCAGATAATGATTACCATGATATCCTGACCTTGAGTAGCTTACAAGACACTTCTAAACAGGAGTTCTGGTAATGCTGAAGATTACATCCTTTCCAAATTCAGTACTACACTACTGCTAATTAAACTGGATTGATAAATTTATGTAAGTTTGCTGCAAATCTCTTTTTGCCAACGTGAAATAGAAATTCTGTTCAGATTCTCATATCTGAATCCCCTCATTTCTAATCTACAATGCTATTAATTAAGTGTATGGCTGCAGAATGGCATGTTATGAACAATACAAAACTGAATGCTTACATTTAGCATTTCACTTTTTTAACATGATTTTCTATAGCATCTTCAGTGATAGTTTCGTCTTCTTCAATGTTTGTTTTGACCTTTTTGCCAACCAGATCAAAAATTTCTTCTGGGTGATATCCTTTAGGTTCTCCCACCTTCACTGAGAGCATGTCAAGAGTCAGCAGCGTACCTTCAGGGATAGTCACTTTTGCCACCACAGACTTTCCCAGCTACAGAAATAGCAACAGAGGAGAGTTAGTTTGAACTAAGTGCATTCTAATTCATAAAGTATCAAGGACTAAGTGTAAGATTGAAAATTAGATCATTTGTCTTATCAGCTATAAAGAAAACGCAGACTTTCAAGTATCTAAAAGGATGTTACAAGGAGGAGGGAGAAAATTGTTCTCCTTGGCCTCTGATGATAGGGGAAGAAGCAATGGACTTAAACTGCAGCAAGGGAGATTTAGGTTGAACATCAGGAAAAACTTCCTGTCAGGGTAGTTAAATACTGGAATAAATTATCTAGGGAGATTGTGGACTCTCCATTACTGCAGATATTTAAGAGCAGGTTGGATAGATGCCTATCAGGAATGATCCATTCTAGATGGTGGTTGGTCCTGTCATGAGGACAGAAGACTGGATTTGATGTCCCCTCAAGGTCCCTCCAGTTCTAGTGTTCTATTTTTCTATCCCCTGCTCACTCTACCTTCAAATACACACTTCAAATCAGTTTAACAAAGATATCTTAGTATGGAAATCTTCACTAAATACAGCTGAATGCTGTGTTATATTGAGGGC